TGGACTGATTGACGGGTCCGGTGGGCGTCTTCTTCTCCTTGCAATCCCTGGCGATATGTCCGACGCCATTACAGTTAGTGCACACAACGTTGTTCGTCACGTTAGGCTTGTCCGGGCACTGCCACGACCGGTGGGACGTGAGGCCGCAGTTCGCACAACGCGGACCATCGCTCTCGCGGAGAGTGCCGTTCAATAGAGCCAACTCTCGTAATTGCATTCTTCGCAAATCGTTCTGATTCTCAGGCACTTCGACGCCCTGACGGATCACTTCCTTGATCTTCATTTGGCATCAATTCGAGCGTTAGTTTCAAATTCATTTGTAAATTCATGTCTGCGTTTAACACTTACTTTCTGTACGGCTTTAACCACCGAGTCGTGAGTCAAACCAGTTATGAATGCGTGCAACGGCTCGTCCTCTCCGGGCATCGGTTGACCATCTTTACGGCCAATCTTTCCCTCTTTGACGGATCCCTTGCCTCTGATTATAATCTTAGCGCCGGTCTATTGAGACATACAGTATATTGAAATACAGCACACAATTCAATATATAGAGTAAATATTATGGATAGAATGGGACTTTGTTTTCACATCTTAAGTATCATTTTTGCAAATTCTTATTTTAAGGTCGAATTTAACAGTATTTGTAAAGCAAATGCAAACTACAATATAATGAGTTGTCCAATACATACATCTTTTTCCATGGCCTTCAAAGTGTTTCCTCGCGGACCGATGAGTAGACCGACGAAATTGATGTCCGGATACTCCTCTTGAGGGATGAGAACCTTTTCGCTGATCTTCAGCTGCGGAGGCCTTTAAGGAAGACTAGCGTTAAGAAAGTGTTGAGAGTTTAACAGGGAATGGATTGACTAACTTGTAATCTGCGGGCGGTTTGTATCCCGGATTGAGTGCAAACATAGTTTGAATGGATTCATGTCTTTTGTCCTCTAATTTCTTTCGGGTTCTAAACTCTCTTGTATTGAGACGTTTGCCCTCATTATTATAGATAGGCTCTGGAGAGGGAGATCTGTAACAGAACCGGTCAAGTATTC